ACATCTGAGAGTCACACAGAGGGAGGGACTCTGTGCTCTCCCGATGCTCATCTCTTCTCCGCTAACCTTGTCCCCTCTCAAGCTCTTTGCCCACCTACACCTTTTGTGGCAGCCCTCCACTACTCCGAGAATACAGACTTAAGAGTGGATCCAGTTGTTGGAGCTCAAAGAGCTCATGCTAAAAAGTGGAACCACTTGAAACAGGAAACAAGCCCTTTCCCGGTTTCCTTTTTGTAATAGCCATCCTTGTATTCTGCCTTGTAACCACCATGGTCCTTCATATCCTGTATGTAGTTCACCAGGAGCGTGTTAGCCATGGATACTCAAGTTGCTCTTTCTCTGCCTAGATGGCTTTTCCCTGAGATAGCTAGGTGCCACGCTCCCTCCTGCACTGCCTTCAGATCTTATTCCAAATGTCACCTCCTCAGAGGGGCTTTCTCTGAAGAGTATAAAATAATGCCTGGAACCCTTGAAGATAGGGCCTTCAGCCCCATTCCTGGCTTTCCCGGTCGATCCTGTCATCTTAATATGCATATGCAAGAATATTTGCAATACCTATGGATGCCAGACACATAAAAATACCAGGACCTGTTAGAGCTCGCCCCTAATCAAGTTGACCCTGCTTGCTTTGTGTTCTCCCCATCCTAGCACCTTCCTCCTCCTAAGACTTAGCAGATGGCCTGGATTTTGAAACACTTACTCTCTTCAGTCTAAAAATAGGTGTAGCTCACTGTGCAGAAGTTTAAATACTACATTTATCTCTGCTTGGGTTTAAGCTATATGAAATGGTGTCCCGTAACAGATATCATTTAAGACTTTCTTTTTTCATGCAGTATAATACTTCTGAGATTAACCATGCATTTATTTGTTATTTCAGTAATTTTCTTAAAATGAAGAACTGTGTTATAAACGTTCTCTGGTATTATGTAAAAGTGAAATTACTGATTCAAAGTGATTCACTTCCTCACTTTTGCAAGATTATAACAAAGTATTTTCTAAGCATGCTATGCCAGTGTGTCCCCACTAGAACTGGACGGCGGTAGCACGGCTGCATTGCTGTTGTTCACTTGTGTTTTTTAAACAGTCCACTGGGATAAAATGCCACTTCAGAGCCCCCACTGACTTAGGTCGAACATCTTTCCATATGGTTTTTTATTAAAATGTATTTTTGCTATAGTTAAATGTCTGAATTTTTTTCTATTTTTCTATGCAGTTGACTTTTTTTTTTTGACTTGTAGAAGGTCTTTCATCTTATAAATACCCTGGTTGTGCTGTGAACTTAATTTTCTTTGGTTTTGATTATTGGAAGTTTTCTTAATGTAGCAAGATTTATCAGCCTTTTGTGGTAAAAAAATTTTTTTTTATTGTCTTCATGCAGAAATGTAATCAGGGATAGAGAGATTGCTCAGTGGTTAGCCATTGCTTCTCTTGCAAAGGACCTGAGTTTGGTTCCTACTACACACATAGAGTGGCTCACAGTCTCCTCAAACTCCAGCTCAAGCAGGTCTGATACCTCCTTGCTTCTGTGGATGCTGCATTCATGCGTCCAGGCACACTCACACGTACACAGTTAAGAATAAAGTAAAAAGAAACCTGCACCAAATGTCGTGATGTACCCCTCTTATCCTGTACTCAGGAGGCTGAGGCAGGTGTGTCCTGAATCTGAAACCAATTTGAGTTATATGAGTTACAGGCCAGCTGGGCTCTGTAGTAAGTTCCTGTCTTAAAGGAAGGAAGGGAGGGAGGGAGGGAGGGAGGGAGGGAGGGAGGGAGGGAGGGAGGAAGGAAGGAAGGAAGGAAGGAAGGAAGGAAGGAAGGTAGGTAGGTTGGTTATGGGCCAGGCAGTGGTGGCACACGCCTTTAATCCCAGCACTTGGGAGGCAGAGGCAGGTGGATTTCTGAGTTCGAGAGTTCAAGGCTAGCCTGGTCTACAGAGTGAGTTCCAGGACAGCCAGGGCTACACAGAGAAACCCTGTCTCGAAAAACCAAAAAAAAAATAAAAAAATAAAAAAAGGAAGGAAGGTTATTTTTGTATTTTTATTCAAACTTTTGGCTTTTATATTTATATTTTATTCCTCTTGAAATTGAATTGTACATGCTCATTTTTTCCATCTTTGGTTGACCTGTTCCTTCATCATTGTTTAGTGGTTTCTTTGCTAACTTCAAGTTCTCAGTGACGTGGTCCCCAAGGCTCGCTCTCCTTCTAGCCCAATGGTCCTCTTACCTGAGCTACTGTTTTACTTTGAGCCCAGCTCCTATGCTCACCCCTCTACCCTTCAACAGAGGCTGTCACAGCTTTCTTGGCTACTCTTAGGGCTTTGTTCTTACCTATGCATTTCCTGTTGAAGTGCTAGAGAGCAAACCCTAGTCACGCGTGCTCTGCCGCCACTCAAGTGCTCTGCCGTTGACACGCGTGCTCTGCGTCGAGCTGCACCCCAGTCCTTGTTGTCACTTACTAGTTAGTTTAGTTTGTTGTTAAGAGTCTTGCTGGGTCACCTGGGTGGCATGGGAATTGATTGACATGCAGCCTGTTTGAGTCTTTTACCAACCAGCCCCTGCACCCCCAACCCCTCCAGCTGTCTCAAAGATTTTATACTTCCCCTCTGGTTGGTATTGCTGCCTGGATTTTTAAAATAATACTACAGAGTGTTTTGTTTCTGTCTTGTTTGTTTATTCTTTTGAGCTGCTGCTGTTCTTCAACATGTCAGGCACATCTTTCCTTACTAGGCTTCCTGACGTAACACTCAAAGCTATAAACTTTCTTTATAAGTGCTATTAGCTATGTTCCATGCATATTTAAGTTATAAGTTACAAGTTATATTTTGGTCCTGGGTGTTTTTCATTTTTGTATAGTTTCTCCTTTTGCCTGGAATGCTTTAGAAATCTTTTTTTTAAGTTCCAAATATGTGATATTTTGGCTTATGTTTTCATAATTGACCGTGTGTGTGTGTGTGTGTGTGTGTGTGTGTGTGTGTGTACAGGTGTGTACTTAGTCACATGCATTCTCTTGATAAATTGGTGCGTGTGCCCTCGGAGGCCAGAAGTGGGCGTCAGACTCTCTGGAGCTGATTGCAAGTTGGATCTGGGAACTGAACACTCCCAGAAGAGCGACAAGCACCTTCACCCGCTGGGCCATCTCTCCAGCCACATGTCTGTTCTAGGTTAGGAGTCTTTGTAGGGTTCCATGAGCCTGAAGCCATTGCTCTTTTCTGAGTTTATTCATATCCTAGCCATCTTTACTAAAGTTGCCTTCTAAAATATTGTCCTGATGCTCACTGTGAAAAGAGTTATCATTCTCTCTACAGCCTAATACTCTGTTCTAAACCTCTCTCCATCTTCCTGCACTAGACTTAAGCTCCTTGGAATTGTGGTCGTTGTGTATTTCCTTTTGATTCCTGAAAGACTTTATTTGTAATGGCCCCAACTCGCAGTCAGTGGATAGTTAGCACCCTTGAGTTTTGAAGGTTAGGTTTCTCCCCTGATAGTGTTTCTCCAGTTCTGCCCTGGAGCTTCTCCTTGGTTTAGTTCGCACTCCCCTGGCAATGGCTGAATCCTGGTCATCCTGCTCCCACTCTTGGCTGGTGTGGCTTGAACATCCCGTGTCCTATCTCCTGCTCTGTTGTCCCACCCATGCCAGTGCGTCTTATAGTTTTCAGGTTCCATAAAAGACACAGCTGTTCCTGTCACAAGAAGCCAGAGTCTCAGTGAGATCTTTGTCATGGTTTTTGTTTTTTTTCTCCCAGTTACAAAGTCCTGTAAACTTCTTTTAACTGTTCTCAGCCCCACTAGTCCCCCTGTGCTTCCTTATCTCTTCGCGGCAGTTCTGGTCTCTGCTTCCTGTCCTCACTGGCTGCAGTGTAAGGGTCAGACTGCTTCACCGGGCATGAGCCTTCCCCTCACCTTAGACTTCTCACTCTTCTCCTCCTCACGGCAGTCTGCCGGGCACACCTCTTCAGAGCCTGGCTCCTTCCCCCAGCTCTTTTTGTCTGTTAGCCTTCAGGATATGGGTAATGGACTCTGTCCCCACCCTCACCCAGTAGGCACTGCCCCTAATAAAGTGCTAGTCCCACCATTCGAACTAATATTTTCATGGAATTATTCTCCTAAAACACAAATGAGCAGGATCTTGAGGGGGAGACAGCAAGAGAGGTTGTCTCAAAAAGGAAACTGGCAGCCTGTCTGTCCGTCTGTCCACTCATTTAGTACTTGGGCTACAATAAACTTTAAGTACATACATTCCCCCACCCCTGCCTTTTATTGTCCTACACTTTGAATTAGTATTTGGAGTTTCTTTTTTTTCCTTTCTTTTTTCTTTCTTTCTTTCTTTTTTTAATTCATTTTTGGGATGTGTGTGTGTGTGTGTGTTTTCTTTTGTCTTTCAAGACAGTGTTTTTCTGTGTAGCTCTGGTTGTCTGATATCCTACTCACTCTGTATGTAGACCAGGCTGGCCTTGAACTCAGAGATCTTTCTGCCTCTGCCTCCTGAGTGCTAAAGTATGTGCCACCACTGTCTGGCCATATTTGGAGTTGCTTAATTTTGCTTTTATTGTAATTGATGTGAATTCTAATGGAGTCTGTCTGTATCAATGATGTTTTTGTAATGCAGTCCAAAAATACATAGCAAGGAATACTCATTTGCTTGACTTAAGTGAGAGTAGTTATATTGTGGTTTGAAATTTTCACATTAAAAATAAATATATTTGAGTTGTCCAGGTTTTTAAGTTATGGGACAAATATAAATGATAACTTGAATTACTTTGTAATTTTTTATATGATACAACTTTGAAAATAGGTATGTTTCCCTGGCAAAAATGTTTATATGAATTTAGTGCTAACATCAAGAATATCAAATGCTTTAACTGTAAAAAGTACTTAATCTTTAATTAGTTTAGTCGGAATGAAAATACATAAAACTTATATTTTCATATGAAAAAATTTCCATTTTGGAGCATGTCAAAAGGGTAAATGTAGTAATTTGAATGCTCTATTTTTATTTCTAGAAACCAGCAAATATCCTAGTAATGGGAGAAGGCCCTGAAAGGGGGAGAGTCAAAATAGGTAGGTAACTATTCCTGAGATAACGGACGAAGAAACTGATCGACTTCTAATGTTCTCCCCTTTTAATACCCTCATTCAGTTGCTGATTTTAAAATTACTTTCTCCATGTTTATAGAAAAGATGTTGGAAAATGTAGGTAGCCTATAAAATCACTCATTCTCCACAGTTCTTTTCTCAAAACAAGATCCTGTCATTGTAAACTGAGGCATCAGTTAACAAACCTCATAGACATTTGCTCATGTGCAGTATACCAAGTGTGTTTTATGTCACCACCACTCTCTAGCTGTTAACACCCAGTGTACACTGTTGTTTCTTTACCTTGCCAATATCCTGTTCCCCAATACATCATCCTAACCCTGACGTAATGATAGCACCCCCCTATCCCCTGCCCAGACACTGGCATACCTGGTGACATGAATGCTAGTGGTAGCACCTCACACTCAACTGGGTTCCATCACCTCAGGCGGGAAGGGATTCAGGGAAACTTCATTGTTGTTGGGACAAGGATGCTGAGGTGGTACAAATGGTACTATCACTGAGACAGTCCACCCCTCTCTGAGGCAGCCTGTCTGTCCATCTGTCCTGCTTCTTGCTTCCCACTTCTTCATCCTCTTCCCAGCCAGTTCCAGAAGAAGCTGCTCTAAACTAGTAACCCTAATAATCCTGCTCCGGACCTCTGCCTGGAGGTGACAGAATTCACCTTCATAGAAAACTGTCTTGTCTCAAGTACCTGAGAGTTAAGTTGTTTTTTCCCCCTTCCTAGTTCTTTTCCATTATTTGTTCTATTTTTGTTTTACCACTCACGTGTTTTCTTACAGGCATTTGTTGAAGACATACATTTGCTTGGCAAAGCAGAAAAGGGCTAGTCCCTCCCAAGAGAAAGAATCATGCAGACATTTGGCTGTGCAGTGGGGTAGAGTCTTCATTATGTCACCTCGGCCTCATAGCTGCCTTTAAAGGTAGAGACCGCAATGAGGAAAACTGGACCAAAGAGCTGTGTCTTGCTCACTCTTTGAAGCCATGACTAAGGCTTCTGTCCTGAGACTTTTCCCTACAAATAGCCTGGTGATAGTCACTGATTTCCTCCGAGAAAAGGCTGACTGACAGGAGTAGTTCCCTTTGTAGCCTCTGAGAACGCACTGCTTTTCTTCAGTCCATGCATTACCGAATTACCATGTGTCATTTAGCCCTTCTTAAGCTTCCCCTCTTCTCGAAAACACTGATAGTCTCTCTTCAGTTTTAAACCAGATCTTACCTCGACAAACAAGTGCAAACACAGCTCTTGCCCCCAAATGAAGTGAGAGGTTGTTATGAGCCAAACAAGAGTGACTGTGACCTCCCAGTGTGGATTCAGGTTGCGTAATAGCTAGGTCTATTGTAGGAGCAGTTACAACAAACTTCTATAGTCACAGAACAAAAGAAAGCCTTCTATCAAGGCATTTCCCAAACTCATGGACAGAAACATAAGGTAGACAGATGCTTAGAGCAGAGCTGGGTGATGGGTATGTGATGAGGCTGGGGGCAGATGGACCGCTCTGCTGTAGGCTCAGTACACTGTCCAGTGAAGTTCTGAGCTTTCAGTTGTTGAAAGCTAGTGGTCTGTCAAATTAGTACTTGGAGAGGTTTTACCCAGTGGTTAAAAGGATAGAAGATCTTACCCAGTGGTTAAAAGGATAGAAGATCAGACATAGAAACGGGGAATAATATCCTGAGCTTACTTGGCCCTGGACCTGCAGAATTCCAGTTTCCCACAAACACAGTTGTAATGAGTGGTCAGCTTTATTGACCCTTTGTTGATCGGTGGGACATCTCTCTGAGCTGGAGTTCATAATTCCCATTCTTGGCACACTGACATATGTGGACACACAGAGGCTGGAGGTTGCTTTGTGAGCCTGGTGCTCGGAAGGCTCATTTCTTGCATCTAGTGAAGGTGAATCTGAGTAGGCAGGAAAACAGTTTACAGGAGAGGGGAATTGTTAAAAACCATTAGGATGAAGCCCCACATATATTGTTAGCTGTCAGGATCTAGGTCAGATTGTTTTTCCTTTTTTTGCCCTTTGTATCTGACATGTATATTTACATGGGATGGATAATATAAACATTATATGTAAAGTTAAAATAATCAAGAACACAGTATGAACTAAAGAACCAAAGGTAGCAGATGAGACTAATAGACATTTTTAACCACATCCTCAACTCAGAAAAGTTCATATGCTTTCCCCAGGGCCTCTCTATAGTCATTTATATCCTGTGAAATATTTCATTTGATATTTGGGATATATGAAATAATGTATTACTTTTTTGGTTTTGGGAGGTTTTGTCTTTTTCAGACCAGGTTTCTCTGTGTAGCTTCAGCTGTCCTGGAGCTCACTCTGTAGCTCTGCCTACCTCTGTCTCCTGAGTGCTATGATGAAAGGAAAGCTTATTTCTGTTTTAATTTTAGCTTTTCTTGTGGCTAGTTTGATTTTGTAGCCATAACTTTATGTGGTCAGTTTTTGTTTTAGGACTGGCCTCTAATGTTGACATTATCTTAAGTGTTATTTGTGGTATATTTTACTTGTTCTCCTATTTATACTAAAGTGTGAGAAAGTAAGTGGGTAATAGTTATATTATAGAAGAAATCAGATAATAGTACTTTCAGAATTCCTTCCCAACAAAATCTACCTTTCCATATGTACTATCAGGGGTAGAAACACGAGGCCAGGCCTGTGAAAGATTAGCAATTTGTGGGCATAATAAAATCTTATTTCTTATTTTACAATCAGAAAGGAAACTAGAATACCAGTAAGTTGTTTTGTAATTTTACTCACCAATTTACTATTTATGATCAGAATAGCAGTATTATTTAGTAATTTTAAGAATATTTTATGTATTCATTGACAGTTTTATATATTTATAAAATATATTTTTGATCATCTCTACCCCAATTCCAGTCGACACAGACAGACATTCCTGTAATCCAGCTCACTGCTACCTTCCTGTCCCTTTTAAAAACATGAATACTTGGAGTTCATTGAGTGCTGCCTATCTGCACAAAGGTGTAGGGCTGTCTGCCTGACCCTGAATAACCTGCCAGTGGCCATACCCTCAGAGATACGATTATCCCCCCAAACCCCACTGGCAGCCATCGGCCTCCAGTAGTTTCTGAGCTAGAGATGGGGCCTTGTGAGCAGGTTTAATATAGGTGAGTTCTTGAGCCCTATGTCCGTGTCGTGTGCAAGAGGCATCATTTTACAACACTCTCCCCTGCCCTCCAGCCATTGCATGTTTTCCACCCCCTTTCCTGCAGTGTACCCTGAATGTCAAGGAACAATGTTTTTAACACATTGGCTTGTACTATGGAACACTCTGAAGATTCAGTTAGTCAGGAAACATGATATTTATGGTATAGTCTCTTAGATGTAAGTTTCTTCTTTTGGGGAGAATAATTTTACATTTAAATATGAATCTTTTTTAAAATGTATGTTTTAAAAATTATTCTTAGTAGATTTGTTCTAAGCCTGTACTTGCAGAGAGGTTTCCTTTAGCACCGTGACTGTCATTGTCTTTAGAAGATTGGTAGTTTTCTGTACTTGGAGTCAACTCGGAGCCATTGGCTGTCAGTGCAATTGGCTGGTGTACAGTGAGTAGAAGTCTGAGTAATACCCAGTAATGCAGATGGTTGGGCCTGTTACTATTGCTTCCTTTCTCTTATTAGGAAGTTGGGTGGTTTTAGCCACTGGTCTAGATTTAAAGTTGCAGCATCCCTAAAATGGAGTTCCATTAGGAAAATGTAAAGTAGGTCTCTGTCAACATGAAGGTTAGAGCTTTAAAGTTATACTGCAAAGTGGGAAGTCGTTTCTGGGAAAGCATCAAGGCATAAGTCAAGTAGATGGTTGAGTAAGGACTCAGTGCATGAGTAATGAAAGGTTGTGATGCTGCTGCCTTCCTTTGCAGGTTTACCAAAAGAAAGATTAGCAGTTTATTACTTAGGCAAATGAAATATCTTAGCTTTTAAAATATCTAAACACAAGGGTTTCTAAAGTATTATAAAAAGTGAGTGTTAGGAATGTTGTGAGAATGCTTCCGTTCCCCTGTCGGTGTGGTGGCACGTGAGTTTGTGGTTGTGTCCTTGGAAACTGGTCCAAGTTTGAGGTAGAAAATACAGGTTGAAACATTATCCTCTAAAGTTCTCTGACATAAGAGATACTTTGAAATGCCTGACAGGGTCCTTCCTGTCCAGGCTGAAGGGAGTCTAACATACTGTGTCCAGTTGACAACCACTTATTATAACACAAGAGATACTTTGAAATACCTGACAGGGTCCTTCCCGTGCAGGCTGAAGGGAGTCTACTGACAGGGTCCTTCCTGCTCAGGCTGAGGGGAGTCTAACACACTGTATCCAGTTGACAGTCACTTATCTTTAGCTCTTGTTACTTAGTTTTTCTCCAGGTGTTCACTGTGGGAAAACTCCATTAACACTTATTTTATATGTTTTCCAAAAGAGATAATTCTTAGAACTTCAAAGAATTAATGAGAGTGTTTGACTAAAAAAGCTAAAAGCTTTGGTTAATGAATTTTAACAACTAATGTTTTAGTTGCATTTTTTAAAATTCCATCACCTATCCAAAGGAATAAAGACACTGTGGACAATTTTACAAATAGATATAAATATTTGTCCACTAAAACGAGTTTCGCAGACACTTGTCTAATTTAACAGAAATGCCCTAGTTTTTTATAGTGAATAAATGCTATTGACCAATTTTTTTTAAATTATTTTTTACAGGTTTGGCCATTTTGTCTGTATGGATGTATGTACATCATGTGTAGGGGCCAGAAAAGGGTGTCATATGCCCTGAAACTGGAGTCATAGCTGATTGTGAGCCACCACTGGGGTGCTGGGAACTAAACCCATGTCCTCTGAAAGACCAGTACTAACTCTGAACTACTAAGGCATGTCTACAGCTCAGTGGTCAAGTTTTAAATGACCTGTTTAGTAAAGGATTAAGATATCCCTAATC